AACAATGGGCATCATGGCCCTCGACAACAATGGGCATCACGACCCTACACAACAATGGGCATCATGGCCCTCGACAACAATGGGCATCATGACCCTACACAACAATGGGCATCATGACTCTAGACAACAATGGGCAAGAGGCAGCAGGTAACCTGACCTCGGGCCTCCAGACATATAGGTATCTTGCATCAGGTCCTTCTTAGTACCACACAGGTGTCTACCAGGCCACAAAGAGAGTCCACCCTGTTGGTAGACCAAAGGCAAGGTGATGGCACCCACTCTTCAAAACTCTTTGAGCTGTAGAAGCCCCAAATCAGAATGCATGGTCTGACCAGGGTGACAGAGCCCTGTCAGCACACCATCTGACTGTGGCAACAGCTCTACCATCTCCGGCCTCAGCTACTTCAGAAACACTGCCCAGTCTGTCTAGGTCCTCCCCTCTCCCAAGTCACTTCTGACAACTTGGTTCAGGGCAAAGGGCTCAGGCAAGACTGGTCACACCCACTGGACCAATGCCGGCCCTCTGAGGAGCTATCCACAAGGGCAGACAGCCATGCATAGCATGAGACCCAAAGTATGTGGCCGGGCAGGATGATCAGGCTGGGGTCCCTGGGGCCCCGTGGTTCATCTCTTCACAGGAAGAGTGTGGTCAGAGCAGCCTCCTGCACCCTTCACAGTTCCCCATGCCCCACATGCCCTTGGGATCAGGAATCTCAAATGGGGATAACAGAGAAAGTCCTGTCCCACCCCAGGGCCTTCCTGAGGACCCGCAGAAACTGCAAGCCTTTGCCTAAGCCAGGACAAGGCACTGGGCCAGGGAAGAAACAAAAAGCCCCTGTGAGGTCAGGGGACCCGGGCTAGGAGGGTCCTCGCGGTGGCGGGTGGGGCTGGCGGGCCGGCCCAGCCTCACTGCCAGCTTCGCCTGCGCCATGCTGCACTCAGTTTTGAAAAAGATCAAAACACGGAGCAAAGCAAATATTTACTAAAATGAAACCACTTTTGTGACTCTCCGGCTTTGAGAGAAGCTGAAAAAACAAACAGGGCACTGAGGGAGGTTTCAGGAGCAGCCCAGGCGGCCGCGGTCGGCTTCCAGTGGAGCCGGCTGTTCCGCTTTTTTCCACAGAACACATCATGCTTTCAGGAGCTGTTGCTCCCGCCACTGCTTTGAAGACTCAAGTCAGTGAAATTTCCAGGTTGGAAAGTGGGCTGGGCTGCGGGAGTGCAGGAGAGCAATCGGATGGCCAACACCTACCTCATCCCTCATGTACACACAGACGGGAGTCCTCTCCTCCAGCTGCTGCAGACGCTCCCTGTAGAAAGAATAAAGAAAACATCACGAGTCCACCACAAGGGATAGCAGAGACTTCAGGGCCCCTAACCCAGCTTCTTGAAAATTGCAGGGATCCAGGCTCAGGGCCTGAGACCTCTGGAAGCCAGCCCCAGCCTTTCTAACTCTCTCTTATATCCTCCCATAACCTCCAGAAGGAAGCTGCCAAGGGCTGCACGGAGCCCCAAGAGCAGCCTCAGCCATTAGCACATGGCCAAGGATTCTTCCTAACCCCTCTAGCCAAAAGGCCACCACATGGCATGAGCCTGAAGGAGAAAACCTCCAAGCAGTCTGGAGGGTCCTGAGTCTAGCCTTTACCTGGAACTGCCTCCCAGAGCAGACACCCAAGACCAGTTCAAGACACAGATGCATTCAGCAGACTCTAAGCAGCCTAGGTTCCCAAGGCTACACGCACTGCCATGAACTATTCCATTAGCCCAGACCCCCAGAGGGAACAGTAGGACTGAGGGAGGGGAGCAGAAGGGCTAGAGAGTTCTCAACCCGCCGGCAACTTGAAATAATGGCTGACAAATTGGGACTTGAACCAGTGCCCCAAGGACTGGATTGCACTGGATTCCACCGAGTTCTCGCCATGTCCGTCCCTTTAGTGCTGAAAAGCACAAGGGTCCCATTTGTGCCTGGACACAGAGAGTAGGAGTACTGCCCCCTTATGAAGCACATCCAGATGTCTACAGGGTTAGCTCCCAAGGTGACGGTTACAGGATGAGAGAGCAGGTCTGCCCCATCCTGGAGGCAGACACACACAGCACTCAGTTCCACTGACAAGCTGAGGCCAGGGCAGAGAGCAGGAAAGGGCTGGAGAGCACCCCAGACAGATGACAGACACAGCAGTCTCTACCCCCACTCTCCATTCTCTACCATCTCTACCGACCTCATCACCTTTCAAACAATGCCCTGAGGGCCCAGCACTTGGCCCCTTTCTCTTTTCTCCACATACTGCCACTCCGCACATGGAGCCACAAGGAGCACCCAGAGAGCGCTGGCTGTACCCAAGCACAATAAGTCTCTCTCTCTCTCTCTCTCTCTCTCTCTCTCTCTCTCTCTCACACACACACACACACACACACACACACACACACACACACACTATAGCCCACCTTTTGCTGACACACAGAGTAACTAGTCAGGCCCTGAGCATCTCCTCTGCCAGTGCCCATGACAACAGAACAGGAGTTAGTTTCTTATCAAGAGGTCCCATCTCAGACCTTAGTGAAAACATGCTCTCCAAAGGGATAGGGAGAAGTTGGGCCCGTAGGCAAGGACCAGGCAAAGGAGAAAACCACACCCCAGCCAGGTCTCATGGCCATCACGGCCTAGACCACAAGGAACTGAGCTGGTGGCCAGAAGTCGGGAAGCAAGGATTAGTTCAGTGTTGGCTTGGATGGGGCAGGGCCGGGAGAGGGAGGAGCCAGCATGAGAGGAGCATCTAGATATGAGACACACGTACAGGAAGGATTCCTCATTTGGAAACCGTGATCAATCCCAAGTGCTCAAAGGACCTTTGGGGCACACGTGTGCCAAACACAGCTCCAATGGGTCAGGGTCACAGGTATGAACCTGGCATTGGTGAAAAAAACAAACAACCCCCCCAAAAAAACAAAACAACAACAACAAAAAACCCAAGCATTAGTACAGGACTGAGTGTCGAATCCATAGCCCCACAGCAAGGACAGCAGAAAAGCAGATGAGCATTTGAGCCTAAGCCCACTAGCAGACCTCTGCAGCCTGTGTGTTGTTTTTGGTACTCAGCTCTGGTGCTGCCCTGGTATGTGCCCACTCCTGACAAGGCCCAGCACTGCTGCTCCACCTGTCTCCAGAGGCCTTGCCAGGATAGCAAGACAGCAACAGAGTTTGAGGAGACCACAAAGCCCACCCTGCAAGCCAGGCTTCTGACTCAGTGGGCTGTGTATGATATGCGGGTATCCCCTCCATACAAGGCCAAGCAGAACTGTAGTGTCCCTGTACTGGGACTACCCTTCCTGGCCCAAGACAACAGGCTACAGAACAAAGATACAGACTGGGAAGGAAGACAAGAACACTAAGAGATTTTGCCTCCCAGATACCAGACACACAACACACTCCTGCAAGAAGGCCATACTGCCTGGTCACCTGACCCTAATGCCCAAACTAGCAGCAAGAGGATAGTCAATGCAATATCCCTTCTGGGAGTCCTTACCTGGGGTATTATAGGATAACAAACCACAGATGGGAACAGAGCCCAACAACAAGTTATCAGACAGTGGCCAGCTAGGATGTGCAGCTTCTCCAAAGCAAGCAGCAGGCGGATCAAATTCCCTTGTGCAGTCTGAGAGGAGCAGTGTGTAAACATGCCATGTGGCCACAGGCCCAGGAAGGGGCAGCCAAAATAGCTTCCAGACCTGCCACCCCTGCCTAGCAAGCAGAACTGCCAGTCCTGGTGGTGGGACTGGAAGACATCCCCTTATACACTAGTGAGGACACCATCACGGCCCACAGACTTCACAGGGTCTACCCTTTCCCCCCAGGCTAGACTGAGCCACAGGACATCACGCTCCACATGAGAAATGTACCACTAGGGGTGGCTAATGGAGTCTAAGGAGCCTGCTCACCCACATGAGAGATACTCCTAGGCACAAAGGAAAGTGTTAATGGTATCAAGCAAGGTCTCCAAGACCAGCAAGCCTCCCCTGGCAGGACAGAGATGCCACTGCTGTTGGCTTCAGAAGCCTGCCTCACCCACCACAAAGCTCATCATCCCCTCAGGGGTGGAGAGTCTGGGTACTTGGGACTCAGCTCCTAGTGAGAGCACTATATGTTGAGGACAAGCACCATCTACAATATGTGTATACTTCATCTGTTCAGACCTCACTAACACAGGACAGGTGTTAACATTAGCACTGCCAAGAAAAGCCTGGCACTACCATGTCCCCAGATACAAGAATGACACACAGGTAGCATGGCTTTTCCTGGTTTAGGTGCCCTCTGAGGGTGAAGTCTAATCATTGGAGCACGAGGTACCAGTGCCCAGTGCCACGTGACAGTGAAGCCCCTTGGGCTCATGCCTTGTCTAGAGGAACAAGGAGGCCCAGACAACTGAGCCTACACAAGTCTAAGGAAGGAAGTTTTATGTGCTACCCAGACAGTTTTAGCCAGGAGCTGAGCTGCTACCCACTGGGTACCAAATCTACCCTGAATATGGCCACAGGGCTTGACCTCAGAGCCCCAGGAGTGCTATGCTCACCCACAGTCTCCTTCACAACGTGTCATACCCTGTGGACCCCCCCAAATCACCCAGCTCTCCTGAGAATTGTAGCTAATCACTCAAGGGGGGGGCAGAGAAAGGGCTTGGGCTACATAGTAAGGCCAGGGTAGAAAAGGGACAGGTGCAAGGAAGAGGACCCAGTGAGGACAAGTCCCCTCTGCACTGAGTTCACGAATTTGACATTTACAAAACAAACAAACAAACAAAAAAGCCACCACACTGTTCCCAAGCAGACTTCAGAGAGCAGCCTGGGGGCGCAGACAGGCAGAGTCTGAACCTGCCTGAATCCTGGGGTGTTCTAAAGCACACCCTTCAGTTCATGTCCTCCCAGACCCTCACACCCCATCTCATCTGTCTTACTCAACACTTCCTGGTGGCCACTTGCCTGATGTGGCCTGCTGGACTGGCCCTACTGACTACACACCCATGTGGGCTGAGTGGATAGCCGCAGGACCTCCGGACGTGTGGTAAATTCTGACTCATAGCAGGAGGCCTGGGTCACACTACAAAGAAAGCCCCACACATTCTTAATCTACACTCCTATGGCCTTTGGACACTCTTGTTTCCATTTGTGTCTTGCTCAACCACTGGAAGGGTGCTCCAGCATACGACCCTAAAGCAAGCATGGGCACATCTGCATGGCCAGTGATGATGTCTGCATCAGAGTCAGCAACCAGAGAAGTAGACAGCAGGCCTGGCCAGTCTTGGAGGCAGCAGCTAGGGCTGGCCGAAGCTCCCAGTAACTTTCATTCCAGGTCTGTACACACGGCTCAGCAGTCAAGAGCACTGCTGCTTGAGTTCCTAGCACCCACGTGGTGGCTCACGAGCATCTGTAAACTCCAGCTCCAGGGGAGTTATGGATGTATACCATCTATAACATTCAGTTATATGTATGTATACCAAGCATACATATATACATAAATACATACATATACACACATACATGCAGACAAAAACATGAAAAACAGAAATAAACAAATCTTCAAGCCAGACATGGTGGTGATGTCTTTAATCCCAGCACTCAGGAGGCAGAGGCAGGAGATGGCAGGAAGATTCCTGAGTTCAAGGCCAGCCTGGTCTAGAGTGAGTTCCAGGACGGCCAGGGTTACACAAAGAAATCCTGTCTCAAAAAAAACAACCCAACAAATAAATAAATCCTCAAAAGCCTCTAACCATAAATAACCTAATCTTCAACTGATTGCATGTTCAAAGGATAACATTCTTGTTGTTATTGTTGTTTGACACAGGGTTTCACTGTGCTGTGTAGACCTGGCTGTCCTGGATCTCACTCTGAACTCACAGAGCTCCGCCTCTGCCTCTGCCTCCCAGGTACACCACCACCACCCACCTTTAAAGGGTAACATTTTAGATGTACTTAGTTAAACTTATCAATAAAGTTAATTACATTTCTTTTTACTTTTTCATTAATATAGTTTCTATAGCTCTGGGTTATGTCCATGACCAGCACATGTGGCCCTACAAGACATCCCCAGTGATCTGCGTGGGGGTGGCTCAGACCAGAAAGAACCACTTTCCAAAGCTATGCTACTTCCAGTCCAGAAAGCCACCCAGTGCCCTCCAAACAAATACACACAAAGCATGCTTTATATTCGCTATGAGAGCCTCAGTGCCCAGTCTCTGGCACTCCCATGGGCATTCCAGGAAGCATCACGGAGGTGAAGACCTAGAGCTTGGACTCCCCACTTGGAACTTGCTTTGCATCATATGCACTGATGAGCCTGCTGTCCCTGCTACACAGTCCCTACCCTCACTGTGAGACTGAAATGCACCTACCATGGGGCATGAGCGGGCAGCAGCTCGGGTCTCAAAGTTCAGAACTGGAAATCATGGGTGGTCTTACCTCTTGGTCCAGTGATTCTATCTCTGAGTTTATCCTGAGGGAGGAAGCAGGATGGCAGAAAGCTGAGTGGTCCACTCTAGCTCTGCCTGTGCAGGCCACACAATGAGGAGCAGGGCCTGTCAGCACAGGTACACAAATCAGGCATACGAATGGAGGCTAGGGTCACTCACAGAGACAGCATGCAAGAAGGGACACTGAGGATCTTCAGGAAAGTGTTTATGGCAATCACAAACAAACAAGAGAGACGTGAGGAAACAGAAGACAGCATGCAAACATCCAGGAGTCTGAGGCAAGAAGACTGTATCCAAGGCCAGCCTAGGCTACAGAGTAAGTTCAAGGGCAGCCTGGGCAAACAAGTGAAACCCTGTCTCAAAAAGTAAAAGGAGAAAAAAAAAAAAAGTAAAAGGAGTGGGCAGTGAGATGGCTTAGACAAGAAAATGCTTCCCACATAAAATGAATATCTGAGTCCAGATGTCACATGAAAAAGCTGGGCCTAGGGGCAAAACCTGTAATACCAATGCCAGGAGGCAGACACGGGAATGTCCCTGGGGCTTACTGGCCAACCAATCTACCTGAATTGGCAAGTGTACATACACACGCTGAGTAAAAAGTAAAGAGTGGGCTAAGGATATAATTAGTGGTAGAACACAGGCCTAGCAAGCACAAAGCCCTAGGTTCAATCCATAGTATCATGAGAAAGCTGGGCATAAATCACTCTCTATCCAATACTCCCATGTTTAAAAAGTATCTATAATATTCATGGGCAGACATGCTAACTGTCATGGGTCCAGAGGCACTGATCTCGGGGCTGCATAGTCTCTTGAATCATGCTATTATCTGTGTCTCCAACTGCACTCATTGCAAGAGTCAACACATCCTGAGAGACAGGGACACCAGGTGTTCTCCCACCTTTTCCAGTTCTGTCAGCCCCTCACCAACAGAGAACCTAAGATACTCTGGGCCATTTCAAGCAGTAAAGAAGCAGCAGCCCTCCACTTTTGGTGTCGCCTAGGAGACACCTAAGAACAGTGCCCTGGCTCTAAGGCGTTTCTTTTCTCCTAACACCTTTCCTATAGCTATTCTGCTTATTTGTACCTACCCCATGCTCCTTTGAGAAAAACTGCCCAAGTACCCCAGCAGGAAGTCTGTAGTCTCCTTTCCTGGAGACCAGCAGCTTCTTTCAGAGACATGCAGAGTGAACTGGGCCTTTTCACACCCAGGGCTGTCTGTTCTACCCTCACTCTTCTGTGACACCCTGGCAAGAGAAAGAATTCTAGCACAAGCAGATCTTGAAGGCACTGCTCTGTCTCTATCAGGGGTTCTGGCCTGTGCCCCCCGGGAAGGGAACAGAATCATTTCCATGCCCAGGTCGTGCATTTCACAGCATCCCCTGATAAGGGTCCTTGACCTGCTGTGGGTCTACACAAGCCTTCAGTCAGGGCCACTGGTCTTCAGTTCTGCAAAGCTCTCGGCTGCGGCCAGGCTCGGTCTGGAGCCTCTGTCCTCTGGACTGCTTTGTAGTGAGTGCCCTGGCACAGAAGACCCAGCAACCCAACTTCCCTGAGTGATCTGCCCTCTGCCCCCCATTGATATGGAGCTTCTATCCTCCAAAGAGCTGAACTCCATGCCGCCCGGTCCAAGCACTAGCCCAGGTCTGCAATAGCTCCCATTCTCCCCTGCTCGGTTAGTCAATACCCACAGCCACCATGGGGAGGAGCCCACGTAGCTGCAGCAGGACTCTAGCCAGGTGACAGACAAGCCTTACACTGAGGTGGCCCCAACTGCTGCTGTGTTCCTACATTCCAACAACTCCTTCTCACCTTAGCCTACCAGCCTACCAGTCACCCAGCCAGCCTGCCTTCCTGTCTTCTTTCATCCCCTGTTTTAGGAGACAAGGTCATGCTACATAGCCCAAGCTGGTCAGTAACTCACTGTGTAACACAGGATGGCCTCAAACTCACAAGCCTCCTGCCTCAGTGTCCTGAATTATGGACAGAAGCCATGCCTAGCATTAGAATGTGCTCTGTGTGTGTGTGCGCCCTCATGCACATAAATGTTATCAGGTATCAAACTCAGGGTCTTATACACACGTGATAAATGCTCCCCACTGAACTAAATCCGCAGCCTGAGTGATCCTTTTTAGCCAGTTGTGTCTACGATCTGACCAGCACTCTAAGGACATGACAAGTCCTAGAGTTCTTGTCCAACACAGCCACCAACTCTCCCCGGCCATCACATGGACCTCATATTTACATAGCTGCTCACATCTAACTTCAACTCAATTATTCCTTAAATAATTAACATTCCTATCTTATGTGCATTGGTGTTCGCCCAAATGTATGTCTGTGTGAGAGTGTCGGGTCCTCTGGAACTGGAGTTACAGACAGTCATGAGCTACCATCAGGCATTGGGAACTGAACTCAGGTCCTCTGGAAGAGCAGTCCGTGCTGTTAACCACTGAGTCATCTCTCCAGCCCCCTTAACTCATTCTTAAATCCACTTCAGACCTGGCCTCAATTCCCATGGCCACTGGTGCTGCTGACACCAGTGTCTTAGAGAAGGGAACCTGCAGACCTCATACCACACTCACTGGGACAGCACGACATTTCCTGTCCACAGCAGTCAGGCACTGCTACAGCCGGGCACACTTCCCTCGTGGGGCCACATGGGCACCAGATCCAGAGTCACGCTCCCCCACACACAGAGCACTGTGCCAGGCCACATCTCGCTGCACCAGACACATTAGCCTACTTTGTCCACACACAGCCATGGCTCAAATGAGGGCACAGACCCAGGAAGGGCAGCAACTCACCTACAGTCATACAGCAAATACTACTCCTAGCATGCTTGTCAGACTTGTGGTGGTGTGTGTGTGTGTGTGTGTGTGTGTGTGCACGTGCCTTTAATCCCACTACTCGGGAGGCAGAGGGAAGTGGATGTCTGAGTTCAAGGCTTGCCTGGTCTACAGGGCAAGTTCCAGGGCAGTCAGGGCCACACAGAGAAACCCTGTCTTGAAGAAAGAAAAAAAAAAGCAACAATAACCAAAAAAAAAAAAAAAAAAAAAAAAAAAATTGACTCCCATCCCACTTAAATACTATTTACACACTTCAGAATAGCATTTGCAGTATTAACCAACAAGAACTACAGATGCACATCAGAAGAACTCATTGTATAAAGCAATGTCACAGCAACAAGCTCATTCTAATCAAGGATCCTCAAAACACAGATCTTACACAGGCATGGGGAGACATTTCATTTCCCTTTGCAGTTCATCAGTCCTTGGGATCTTTTGAGTCCCGACAAAGATGGAGGAACACCTTTGCTCTCTTTGGAGGACAAAAGGCCAGCAGGCCTGGAAGCTGAGCTGCCAAGACCTTCAACTGCGCACCTCCATTCAGTCAGGACTGCAAAAGCCAGAGCCAGAAGCACAGTGTGGGTTTCAGACCTCTGCCAGGAGGGGGCGGGAAAGAGCCTGGGATCTGCCTGCCAGAGCTCACCTAGTCTGTACAAAATGGCTGAGGAGCTCCCAGAGTGTCTGGCGGGAACAAAAAGTGTCCTGCAGCCTGGAGCCATCATCCAGCTGTAATGCAATTCGAACCTGGAGAGGTGAGAAGTTAACCCAGAATTAGGAAGAAACACACTATCCCAACAGACCCAGATTCCCAGAGCCAGGAACTCCCCACCTCCTGAACACAAATACTGAGGAGGGGTATGATGCCCGAGGGGGCTTTTCAGGAGGGCTGTATCACCAAGGAAATGGCTGCACATCAGTGAACTGTCACGGAAATGCCCCCTTAACCACTACCCCCAGCCGCAGACAGCACCGGTGCAGCCTCTCTGGGAGACCAAAGATGAGCCCCAGCATCCTGTGAGATAGGAACATTGAGTAAGATGTCCCCAACTTCAGGGCAGGCTATTGCACAGCACAGAGGACCGATAACTGGCGTTTTCTAAGTCTCTGTTTATTACTGAGCATACCACTTTTGTATGTCTCATAGCAACTGTACCTTCAACGAGGAACACATGAGCTACAACCCCCTCCAGCAGTGGTCTTCAACCTTCCTAATGCTGCAGCTCATTAACACAGTTCCTCACGTGGTGCTGACCCACAACCATAAAACTATTCCATTGTTACTTCATAACCACAAATTTGCCACTGTTATGAATCATAATGTAAATATACGGTATGCAGGATATCTAGTATATGACCCCTGTGAAAGTGTCACCTGATTCCCCAAGGGTTGCAACTGCTCTAGAGCATGTCAGTAGGTGGAAAGCTACAGCTGAGGCCCAGCAAGGGCTCTAGGGAGGCTGAGTGAGAAGCAAGTGTCTGTCAGCCACGTCTGTACAAAAATTCAGGATCTCTGATCAGAAACATCCAGCTGGTACAGTGTTACCAACAAACCCCAACAAAACCAAAACACAAAACAACACACATACACACACCAAAAAAAAAAAAAAAAAACCAAAAAACACCTGCATAAGGAAGAAATTTTTCACTCCCAGTCCTGAGTTATTCAAGCAGAAAATGTAGCTTTGGCTTAACTGAGGAAGGCAGAATGGACCGCAAGACTTGTCTCGACCTCCAGTCCTTCTCAGACCCATGGGCAAAGCTTCGGCACAGCTCCCATCCAGCCCACGGCGGTGCCATCCCCTGCTCCACAACGCCGGCAGAGGCAGAGGGGCAGTGCCATCGCGCTTCACAGCTGGACACCTACCATGTTCTCAGGCCCCATCTCCAGCTGGACACCTACCATGTTCTCAGGCCCCTCACGGCTGCGGGACACAGGCACCATCTCTAGCTTGGCATTGTTAGGCAAGTTGGCAAATCTCCACTGGAGAGAGAGGTCGAGCACAGTCCTCTGAAACCTGCAGAACAGACATACCACAGACATCCCTGAGGACATAGCCCCATGCCTACCGCTCCCTCAGCTCCCAGAGCACAGACTTAGGACTTGAAGAAACAAGAGGTGAAGTCTTGGAGTACAGGGAGCTTTAGGGAGGCACAGGACTGGCAGGGATACAGAGGGGATACAACAGGATGAGCCTATCCAAAGGTGAGGGTGGTACCTAGAGATACTGCAGCAGATGCTGGCCTGAGAGCTGACCCTCAGGAATGTGGCTCATTTGGTATAGTTCAATCACCAGCACTGTACAACCCTGGTATGGTAGGATTACATGCCTGTAACCCCAGTACTTAGACGGTAGACACAGAAGGATCAGGAGTTCAAGATCATCTTGCGTATGTAGAGAATTGGAGGCCAGCTTAGACTTTTGGAAACCTTGACCCATAAAAATCCCTACGTGATGGGTGACAGCCAGCTGGTAACGGAAGAGAACTGACTTCAGCAAGCGTCCTGACCTCCACAAGCACGTTTGGCATTCATGGACCATACACAATTATGTATAAAATAAGAAGAAAAAAGAAAGCTGTCTCGAGCAAGACCAATAAAATTCCACCTAAGAGTCCTGTCGTTCCAGTTGCCAAAGTTGCTCTGGCTCAGGAAATATATACCAGTCCCATCACTCCCGCCTGCTGCTACCCAGAGGAGCATGAAACAAGCATAGGAAGGCGATCGTACAAGACCCGCCTCTGGGACGGCCCAGTCCGATGTCCTTACAGAAATTCAGAGTGAAACCAGGCAAGATACAAAGTCACATTAGCCATCGCCTCTCCGCCTTACACCATGAGGGGTTAGTGTGCAGGGAGGCTCCAAGGGCTTTTAGGGGCTTCAAACGTACAGCTTCTCAGAAGCACCGAAGGACCAACAGATCTAGAAGCATCAGTGGAGACTCAGGCATTATCTTGGAAGCAGCCTCCAAGATGTTTGCCCTTTCCAGAGAGCTCAGTTCAAAACTGGAGAGTCAATGACAGTTCAGGACACACAAAGGTGACACTTGGATCTGATACATGGCTCCTGGCAACTCAGTATGAGTCACCAGGAGGCTATTACCTGCCCTTTGGACGAGAAGAGCAGGCAAGAAGGGAGAGAAGCTGGGCCAATGCCATCCCTGGGGAAAGCGCCGCAGCCTTACCCAGCTGCCTTCCTAACCTTGTTCCTTCTCATCCCAAGATTCTACAGGAATGAGAACAACTATCCGACCTACAGCTCACACACCGCACAAAATAGCACAACCTTGCCTGAGGACGTGCATGGGCCACCTGAGGACTATAGAGGACAACAGGACTCAGACTCTGACTCTGTTTTAATGAACATTCAGGAGGAAACTACAAAACTAGATAGATACATTTGTGTGAAATCTGAATATATGGTTTATCGCCAACCACTTTTGAATATAGAAAGTGACTAGCCCCACATTATAAACCCAAGATGCTGTTGGGAATAGCAGTTTTGGCGACTGTGACCTATGTACAAAGTCCAAGAATGTTTGGAAGAACTGAGAATGAGCCAGGTGTGGGGGCAACACCTTTAATCCCAATGCTCAGGAGGATCTGTGAGCTCAAAGCCAGCCTGGGCTACACAATGAATTCCAGTTCAGCCAGAGGCAGTGAGACCCTGTCTCGCAAAAGAAAAGGAAAACAGAGAGATAAAAGCAGAACTGAGAATGAGACACTGTTGATCCCGGTCCTCGGCACAGTTCAAAACTGCAAGCTGCCGTAGGCTTGCGAGCTGACAGTGACGGGCAGAGAGAAGGCCCTCACCATGTCTACTGCCGGGCACCAGCCAGGGCAGTCACAGCACTTCTTAAACAAATTACAGTCAGCGGATGGAAAGGAGAGGCTAGGGCAAAGCTAATACAGTGTTGTAGAGGAACTGACTCAAATTATAATCATTACTCCAACCAGACACCATTATGTGGACCACGGGCAGGTTAACAGAACAGTGCTGGCACAAGGCTTTGTGGCAGGGTATCCTGGCCACTCGGAGCACATGTTCTGTGATTGTGAGATGACCAGAATGGGAGCTGGAGCCTGGAACAGCCTGATGCAGATATCTTTTCAAAGAAACATCTTCCTAGAAAGCTCCGAATGTAGTGTGGAAAAGGTCAGGGGAGAGTGGGCTCTTGTGTTCGAACAACAACAAGGCTGTGAAAACACATCTCTGTCTCAAAGGAGAAATACCATGCATGAAACGCACCCTCCTGCGGCCTCAGCCCTGAGGACCTGGTGGAGGGCCTGCCCTTTTCTTTGTATCAGTAGTATTCCTTCACGGAGAATACTACAATGGGGGAGGGTGACAATCCCTTCACAGGTTTCTACCCATTTCTGCATGAACAGATCTTTGCACTAAGAGCCCCACCAGGAACTTACATACTCAAATGAGCTAAAATCCTACACTGTAGGGTTAGACATGCTGCCCAAAAGATGTGCTTCCCAAAAGATACATCATTGTCTCTGCCCCTAAAAACCTGTGGGGATGACCTTATTTGGTACAAGTATTGATTTTTTTAAAAAAAATATTTATTTATTATGTATATAGTGTTCTGCCTACACATCAGACAAGGACATCAGATCTCATTACAGATGATTGTGAGTCACCATGTGGTTGCTGGCAATTGAACTCAGGTCCTCTGGAAGAGCAGTCAGTGCTCTTAGCCTCTGAGCCATGTCTCCAGCTCCCAGTAGAGGTATTTCTTGATGTTAAGTTAAGGGAGGACATTAAATGAGGTCATCCTGGACTAACCAGAGGACCCCTACACCCAGTGACTTGTGTCCTTATAGCAGACCAAGAGATGGCAGAAACTGTAATGATGTAATCACAAGCCAAAGAAAACCTGGACAGCCAGAAGGTGAAAGAAATAAGAACATCTCTCCCTTAGAACATTCGGAGTACAGTCATACTGACACTTACATTTTGGACTTTGCCTTCTGAACTGGATAAGAATAAACTTCTTTTAAACTACCCAAGGGGGCTTTTCCAAAGTAGAGACAGTTTGTGTGTTGAGAAAAGGACCAGATGGATTGAGAAGCCCACAGCTGAGCCTGAGTAAACTCACTTCAGATCGTATTCACTGGGGTTGAAGTCCTGCCGTCGGCATGTGTCCTCCAGTACCTAGGGGACGAATGGACAGTAAAACCTACGTGGACCAGAGAACTCATATGGCAGGCACACTGGCCAGCCCACCAAACATCTCACTCAACAAGGCTTAGCAAGCAAACCGTACATAAAAATTCTGTCGTGTTTCCCCTTCCTACAGGTGACTCCAAACTGTGGCACAGCCTGTCCAACCCTGGTCCCATGTTTTGGGTTCTAGGTGGAGGCTAACCACAGATATAACCAACCCGCCTTACAGGGACTACTCTGTATCTCTTGTCTCACTCTGGGGCCTAGCAGCCTCTGTGCAACTGCTGCATGACCCGAATCTTCTCTGCATGAGCCCAACTGCAAATGGGTCCTGCCAGAGGGTTGTGGGGCTGTATTAGGTTCTCTAGAACCTCATTTTTGAACTGTGTTCCCCACTCCATGGGCTCCTGACACAGATTTGAATAGTATGCGCTTTTGCAACCTAACAACAAAGGTTCAAGAAACAGGTGTGTGATTCATAGGCGGTCACAAGCAGCGACAGTCAAAAGCAGTGAATGACTTAGCAAAATTCACTTCCGGGCACACGGACGAGGCCGATCCAAGGTCCGGAGGGACGCCCCTGAGCGGAGCAGGCAGGGGCGCCCCTCTTCCCGGTGACCGAGGAGGCTGAATTCGGACAAGTGCCGAAGACTCCGGGTCTCCAGCAGCACGGCCTTGGGGTGGTGAGGTCCCCAGCCGTCCCGGGGCTCAGAAAAGGCGCCTCCGAGCATCCCGCCCCGCCCCCGGGACCCAGCCACGGAATGGGGCGGGCAGCCGCGCGAAAGGCACCCATTGGCTGCCTCAAGCGCCGCCCACCAGGGC